ATATGCGTAAGGTGGATGCCACTTGCCTCCGCAAGCTGAAAAAAATTGGTACTATCGTTGCGGCCTTGTAGCTCAGTGTGCGCCTTACCGAAGCGTAGGTGGCGCCCATGTGTGAGTTCCAGTCCAACTGAGGCTACTGAACTTTGCACAATTTCAACATAAGACTTCGATCGGTCAAAACAATAATCTGAAGGGTGAAGATGAGATTGATGCTACGTAATAACGGCTCGAACGAAAGATCTGGGTCAACGATGTGTCCGGTTTCCATGATATGTTTTGTGATTGATGATCCCAGATTTATCTTATCGGATTGACCTGTAGGACTGTGTTGCGTCATACTGATTGTACCAACCACTTTGGAATGTGTTGTTGGAATGTTCGTTGTGACAGGGGCCGATCCGTTCTGCGGTGACACTTACTGTCACTGAATTGTAGGATGACATGCGATGTAGAATTGTGTGGCCGGTTCTATTTTCGATTTTCCACACGAAGTCCTTGAGTATGTGGTATCGATCGAAGCTGTGCGACACAATGCCGCCTTGAGCCCTTGCGGCAAGAGTGAATGTGAACTAGACAGAGAATTTGGTAAGGGTCATAAACAGAATAATGGCTGATGTATGTCGACTGACACTTCCGGCATAGTGAGTCCCTGGCAAAAGTGTGAGAGAAGAACAAGACAGCATCAGCAAACAGGGTGGTGGTGGCACAGTGGTTTAGTCACTGTCACCGGCGTGCTCTGGACCCTGTGGTGCGAGGGTCCAGCCCCGCCACCGCCACCCAACTTTAGTGGTAGGCAGCTGCGCTACTGCCCGGTTCAATATTACGCCTAATCTATCAGGGCCTTATGTGGTTCCCCAATCCAAATCCCGGGGCTTAGGTTACCGGTTTCCATCACTGAAAAGCAGGTCTTTGTCTGCTATCCGTCACACACCGGTGTATAAATAAGAATATACAAAAAATCTTTGGATTGGTTTCCTACCACCGAACCTTCAGTGAATTGCTTGATATTCACCAATGTGAATGAAGAGAACGCGGTGACAGAGAGAGAGAGGTGGGTAGGAATAATTGGTTGAATAGTAGATACGAACTTACTCAACGGATGTACACATTCGTCCAACTCGATGGACAGCATCACACGACGGGAAATGTAACCGGGAGCCAAAGCCCCAACTGGATGAGAATTCAATGGGTCCGGAGGAAATGAGGATTGACGAGAGTAACCTATTCCGTCACGTGTGGACAGGGCAGTGGGTGAGACAGGCGGCACTTTGGGCAATGGCAACCAAATTTGCAACCCGGACGAACCACAATAGAGCCATAACGAGCCGGCCATATAAGCTCGCAATACGGGATTCTGCGAACAATCGTCCAGTAAAGTTGG